AATGATCATTAAAAAAAATAAAAGAAGCAAAATATTTTTTAGTTATCCTTGATTGTACTCCAGATACAAGTCATCAAGAACAAATGTCTCTTATTTTAAGATGTGTTGATACTTTAACAAGTCCAATAAAGATTGAAGAATACTTTTTAGAGTTTTTAAAAGTAGATGATACTTCGGGAAAAGGCCTTTTTGATGAACTTTTAAATATTTTGGAAAAATATGAACTTGATGTTAAAGAAATAAGAGGGCAAGGTTATGATAATGGATCTAATATGAAAGGAAAACACAATGGAGTACAAAAGAGGCTATTAGATATAAATCCTAGAGCATTCTACACACCATGTGGTTGTCATAATTTAAATTTAGTCTTATGTGATATAGCTAATTCATGTCCTAGAGCTATTTCTTTTTTGGAGTGTTGCAACGTATATACTCATTGTTTGCTTCCTCTACTAAACGATGAAAAATTTTAGAGGATAATGGATGCAAGTTATCTGTTAAATCTTTATCTCAAACTAGATGGGAAAGTCGGATAGAAAGTGTTGAAGCAATAAAATTTCAAGCTCCAAATATAAGAGATGCTTTGATTCAATTAGCAGAAATTAGTGAAGATCTAAAGATAAAAAGTGAAGCTAATTGCTTAGCAACTTATGAGATTAAAAATTTTGAATTCTTGTTAGCTATGAATATTTGGTATGACATATTGTTTGCTGTTAATTCAGTTAGTAAAATCTTACAATCTAAAGATATGCATATTGATATTGCTATAGATCAATTAAAGGGTCTTATTGTATATTTAGAAAATTATAGACAAAATGGTTTTATGTCTGCTTTGAATTCAACTAAAGAACTTGCTAATGAAATGAACATACAACCTATACTTCGTGAAAAACGTAAAATTCATAGAAAAAAAACAATTTGATGAAAATATTAGTAATGAAACAATATTTAACGCTGAAGAATCTTTTCGTATTGAATATTTCTTATACATAGTTGATAAATCGCTTGGCTCAATTGAAAGTAGGTTTGAACAATTTAAAACATATGAAATTTTTTTTGGTTTTTTTGTTTGATTTGAAAAAGTTAAAAGCTTTAGATGATATTGAATTGAAAGATTAATGTCTTAATCTCGAAAATGCACTAAAACATGATGAACATTTAGATATTAATGGACTTGATTTGTTTTCAGAATTGAGAGTGCTTAGGGAAATTTTAAAAGTAGAGATTAATATATAGTTCAATTGAAGTGTTGAACTATATAAAACGTTTAGATTCTTTTCCAAATACTTGTATTGCTTATCGTGTATTATTGACTATACCCGTAACAGTTGCTTCCGCTGAAAGAAGTTTTTCAAAATTAAAATTATTAAAATCTTATTTAAGATCGACCATGTTACAAGATAGATTAAATGGTTTAGCAATATTATCTATCGAAAATAATATGTTAGAAAATATTGAATATAAAACTTTAATTAGTAATTTTGCAGCTCAAAAGGTAAGAAGAATGAGATAAAATCTATTATGAGTTGTACCAGTTAGGCATCATCTAATATTTCGCCTTAGGCCCCAAAATTCCTAGATACGGCCCTGACGGTGCACGGGTTTGTTAGATGATTCATGAAGAAAAATGGCATAGCATTGAAATCGCTCGAGTCTTTTACATTCCTTTTCCATCTACGTTTTAGATATTCCATACACATTATACTTTCGGTACGTTCAATATATTTAGCAAGGTTTTTTTTCCTAGAAACAACATTATTAATTATACGAAACCATCTTTCATTTTTAATTTATACATAAACCACCTTTAGAGTTGGTTTTTGTTGCAATCAACCACATCCCAGTCAAATTCTTCACCTAAAACCCAAAATTACCCTTTAAAAACTCTTATTCCAATGTACACGGCTCTTTTTTTTTAAGTATTTGGGTCTTGTTAGGAGACAACTCACGTAACTTGAACTTGAATTTTTTTTAAAGCTTATTTTTGGTTTCTTGTTCAAAATTTGGCTAGGAGGTGGTTGCTTGTAACAAAAACCAACTTTAAAGATGGTCTATGTATAAATTAAAAATAAAAGATGGTTTCCGTATAATTACCCTATTATTAAGGAGATTTCTATAAGGGGGAAAACCCCCTATGCAGTATGGATCTTGTAATGTTTATTCTCTTGTGCGCTGAATACCCTTTTCCACATCGCAAGCACGATATTTTCAAGCAAATATCCTTGTGCTACTGGATTCACAGGTAATATATTTTCTCCATTAGATTATTACTAAATTATTACTAACGCATTTACAAGAATTGAGTACAATTGCTATTTACAATGTTTTCCATGTTTGCTGTGCGCTCTATAACCTGTGTACTGTATTTTTTTGTTCTCCTGTTGGTACTCTATAACCTGTGTTTTGAATGGTTCTTTCATTTAGGAAAGTGATTGGATCTTCCTAAAATGCTAACATCGAATATTGCGGTAGTTACCTACCATGATCATAGAGTTTACGGAAATAAGTAATTTTTGTCGCTATCTAGAATTGCTCCAAATAAATACAGGCAAGATTTTACCAATGGTGCTATGCGGATGTAATCTTTCTAGGGGGTGTTTGTTTCACAAAAAATTTGGCATTTAGTATGGATTACAAGTTTTGGGATCAAAAAGTGAGTTTTTTTTTTGTATTTTGGGATTCCATATATGGTGTTTGTTTTAAGAAACTTTATAGAATATTGAATCTCAAAAGTACAAAAAGCGTCCAATTTTAGAATTTGTCAAATCCTTTCAATTGGAGAGGATTTTGACAAATCTCATAAATGGGTCTGCTTACCTCTCAAATTCATCCCAAGTTGAGATGGAATTTGTTGGTAAGCTGTACAGCCATTTTTTAGCTTTATCCTTAAGAGCAAATGGAATAAATCTAAGCTTAACCGCATCTTCATTTAATTCTCTTATTTTAATCATAATACACACTTCCTCAAATTCCGAAATAAAAATATATGCGTCTTCTGTTTCATTACCAAGGAATTTGGGAAGCATGTTTATGTATTGCGGTCTAAGCTCAAAACTTATTCCATTTGTTTCAGGAAGCCTAATGCATGAGGGGATTGCATTCCTAATGGGATAGCACATATCATGAAGAACGGGTGGATTAGGATGCTCCATTTCTATGATGCTCCATTTTCTCGGCAACGGCATAAACATGTACCAAAAAGGTTGCAAGTGTTCCATTTCTATGATGCTCCATTTCTGACAAATCCCAATTTTGTCTTTTTTTGGGAGGTCACCTCCACCAATATAGCATATTCATCATATTACAAAATTTTGGCATTTGGTAATGCTACAATTTGAGCTTGAAACAAACAAAATATTACAAATTATAATATTCAAAATCCTAAAATATTAATGAAACAAACAACATTTTAGAAAATCCTAACTTATAACAAAGCATTTGTGGATTTCAAATCTCACGGTAAAATCCATATCCTAAAATTATAAGATTTGAAACAAACACCCCCTTACTAGATTTCAGTGGAAAAATAACAGGCTGGGATTAGAAATTTGCGTAGTTATTCCAAGGGGACCAGTAGGGCTGAGCATGGTTCGGTTCAAACCGAAAAAACCGACCGAACCGACCCGAACCGACCCGAAAAAAGCGGTTTTAAGAGTAAGGCGGTTTGGGTCGGGTTGACAACTTTTCAAACCGAACCGACCCGAACCGACCGAATATATTTCCAAAACTTTCAAACTCGTTCGCGTTTACCCGACCCGCCCCAAACCCTCAACCCTAACTTCATTTCCTCTCATTCCCAAATCCCAACCGCCGCTACTCATTCCCAATTTCCCATTTCACTCGGCCTCAATCCCTCTCTCTTGCTCTCTCTCTTCTTCCAAGACCCCTTACTCTCCCCTCCTCTTCCCGAAATGCCCCTCTCCCTCTCCCCCTCCCGTAAGCGTGACATCCCCATCGATGACGAGCGATAGGAGTTCTTAGCCATGGCTCAAATGATTTGCATTTGGGCGCATATGAAAACAAATATATACAAATTATCCCTTGGGACAAGCAATATTTATGCCTATGATTGTTATACTTGATGAAAGTTAGAACCGAACAAACCGAACCGAACCGTACCGAACCGATTTGCAACGGTTCGGTTCGGTTTTGAATTATAGGTGGTTCGGTTCGGTTGTTCAAATTTTGGTAAAAACCGACCCGAACCGAACCGTGCTCACCCCTAGGGACCAGCTGACACAGGGGAACTCGAAACTCTCACTGAAGCTGCAGGAAGTACAGACAAAATCTTGGTATTTTATCGAATTCGCTGCCAAACTGAGGAGCTGCCTTTTGAGTTCGTAAATTGTTATGCTGGCAAATTCTTTATATATCATATACAAATTAAAATTGGAAGCTAATCCTTTACACATGATCTGCCAATTTTTAGGTCTCAGGGTGCTCCCCTGAGCTTTGCTCTAACTTCTGCTTAATGATTTGTTTTTCTTTCCTAGGCCGCGTTTGGTTGCATAATAACAAGGCTGAAAACCTGACAAAAGCTTAGCCAGGCTTTCAGCCTTTCCCTTTTGCAACCAAACGGGCCCTAGTGGAAAACTTCTGATGCATGGTTTGCCAGGTTATCAAGTGGGATTCTTGTCATATGGCGATGATGTACACGTTCCAGGTCACCGGGAATTAAAAAAAAAAAGACAAATTATCGTATTTCTACACATCCTGATGAACACCAGAGCCTTTATCAGCTAAATTAGAACAAAACATGCAGCTCTGTAAAAAAAGAAAAAAGAAAAAAGTGAACACACTGGAAAGCAGTGGATAAGATCCATAAAATCACACAGCGAGGCACCAATCGTAAGCTTCGGCTAAAAAAGCAAAACCATACCAACCCTGTAAAAAGTTGCCGACACAACAAATTGGATGAGCACTGGCGGAAAAGAGAGGCTCAGACGCTACAAAAGTTCATGGCCCACATAAACCCAAATTGAATTGGAAGTCGAAAGCTCTGAAGTTGAACAGGGGCTACATTTATTGAACGGACGCGGTTCGGTTAGACCAGAAAGAGATATAGACAAGCTGCGTAAAATCAGGTCCAACCCTGATCAGAATACATCCATAATACATCAACTACTCGTACATAATGGTACCCCCCCTAAACTAGAATTACATCACCAAAAATTGACGAACAAGTTAATAATTGACCCCTATCTACCCATCTAAACCCCCCCTAAAATGATCTGTTAGAGATTACACTGAATTTTTATGGGTTAATACTACTATTCTTCTTCGCTTCTAGGTGTAACTCATCAGTTCATTGTGTGGTTACAGATCATACTACGCTACATACATTGCCATCAGTCTTTCCCCTCCTTCGAAAAGCTCGGGCAAAGATCATCATATTACTCCACTTTCACCCACTCATATCGCCCAGGGAGGGGGCAGTCGTTCACAGGATCAAAGTTGTACCTGAATCAAATAATGACACAAAGATCAGGGTAAACTTGTTGAAATCAAAGTAATGGAGAACAGTTGAGAGAGAAGTTTGGGGGGGAAATTTTTTTTACTTGTCGGTGAATATTCTTTGTTGGAGTCTCTCAGCACAAGCGAAGAACTCCTCCATCTCATATGAGGTTGGGATGTTACGGTTCACCGCGTTCTGAATTCCCCGGCGACTGTTGTTAGAATTGGATCTTCTGGTGGTCGACCCAGGGGTTGCTATTGTTTCTGAATCCCTTATAAGACTACAAGGTGTGGTCTCCCTGACGTTTCTGCAAACAAGTTGTGCACAATATTTAGCTCACAGTAGAGAGGGGGTGGAAGCAATAATTTTACAGTCACAAAAACAGGTGTTGACAAACATGAGATAGATCAGGAAATGACGTGATTGTTCAGTAAATAGTACATACAAGAAATAACCCATCAGTAAAAGCTGCTTTTTTCTTTAACCTTATTATTATAGGGAACTAGTGCATGCATGTATTAACAAAAAGAGAGCCTCAAAAGCACTATAGCAAAAATAGTCACATGACTAAACTAGTAAATTTTGAAAACGCCTCAAACAAGGACACTGGAAACTTTAAATCACAGGAGACAAATTTGCGTAGATGAGCGAAAACAAGGTGACACAAAAACAAGAGTCGGAGTGATAGCACAGCACAACACAGCTAGCAATGTCAGGAATCTGAAGGTTACAATCAATGAAGCTGAGACAAGGTAAGATTTTTCTTTTGATCATGCTGCAACAAAAGATGGAGACAAGAATGTAAATGGTCCGCCATGGCTTCATTAATGAGCATAACAACAAGCTAAGATATATTATTTGAACGAAAAATTGGAACTTTTCAATAAAGAGATTTTACCTTCATGCCTCTAAAGGTGCAAACAACTG